CGGCCTCTTTCAAACAGGAGGTGAGCCATCTGTTCCACTACAGAAAACAAGTCATATCACAGGAAAATCACGTTAGAGAAGTCTATCCCAACCTTGTTCAATCGATAGAGGCACAAAACAAACACGTTTGTACTGAAGAGATGTGTAGGCAGAAAGACTCACGTAATGCTTGAAATGATGATGTACGTCTCGTTTCTGTGCCACGAATGCCTCCTCGGCGATGGTGTTCACAGTCTTGTACAGTCCCATGAAGAGAATCTTGGCTTGGTCAGGTAGTCCGTTGATGAGCTTGGGATTCCACGTCCTCACGGCCTACACAAAAACCCGAAGCTCTTCCACAGGTGTACCGACATCGAAGTAGTCGTCTAGAACGGTGGTGAGCACGCAACAGGGCGCCCAAACGCGCCTCGCCTGCACCATTTCGGGCTAAAACATTGTTGCAGGGCCTGCGAAGTAGCACTCCACGGATTTCTGTCTAGCAAAGTCGAGGTCTTTGAAATGGCAGCTAGCATTCCATTTGATGACACGCTCGAGCTCCTTCTTTTGAAGAGCTTGGCACATGTTGAAGTCGGCTTTGGCCAATTTGAGAAACACTTTGTTGGTGACGGCCGGCATTCTATAGAGCGACTTGTCGATCCAGATATCACAGGATCCTTTTGGTCCAAGTAGGTGCGATGCTCAAGACGAGGAAGGCTGGCGTACCAGGGGAATGTGAGATTGTACTCCACCTCGTCCGCTAGATCCTTTGTGAGTATCTACTTATCGAAGCATTCATTGTTTTCATGCTTAGTTTTCAAAAAGCTTCTGGAAAAGCTTCTGGCCTATTGAAGGAGTGTTTCCCCTGGGTAGAGCGTTTGCTATGCTCGGCTTAGGTTGAACATCCCCGTGACGGCTTAGCTGGACTAGCCGGCGAAGCAAAAGAACTCACCATCTTTGAAAAACTGTCTTAAGCAGTCTTCCTTGACGTCGAATCCGTGTGTGCGGAGAAGGCGGAAGGCCATCGCCGTGTCATCCACATCCTGCACAGTCGAATTGCTGGCCCTGCCAATACCACAATCCTTCCAGTATCTGCACGCAGAAAGAGTCGTGGAAAAGAATAAGTTCAAGACAAATTTTCAATCGTTGAGTCCGAACATCACAAGATGAAGGCGTCGAGTGGCACACTCCAATTCAAGTCTCTCATGGATACAAGGCATACTGGATTACATACTGTAGGCACTGTCTGACTTCTCGCTCAAAGTAGCGGGATATTCGCAGCCTTTGTTGGCAGTCTACTATCCACAGTCGCTCGAAGAGTTCAACGGGGTACACGTTCGGACAAGCGTGGTCAAACTTGATGAGGAGCTGGTTCAAGTAGTCGAAGCACTTGGCATCTTTTGTGTACATGAGGGCGCATGCAGTGGATGCTGGTGAATACAGGAAGGAGCCATTCTCGGACTGTAGCTGGAGGAGCTAGTTCCAGTCCACTTCCTGGTGCAGGCTTTCCAGAGAATGCAGCAAAGTGGTGGGGTACTTATGCACCATCGCCATTGGAATCCTGCTCAAATTAATCACAAAAAATTATCAATGCCCCCAATTCATTGAATGCAAATGAGAACACGTTTTGCAGTCGTAGCAGATTTGCTCATTCAGCAGTACTTCTAGAGTTACCTGGACATTCACTGTAGTTCTGTGATGACATTTCGAAAGTGAGGAGTTGGTGAAGCAAGACTGCTCACTCTTTCAACTTCTCTCTTTCAGCCGCGATCTGTTGCAAGATAGTGGCATCGTATGGTAAATCCAGTTCCAGTGCCTTGGCATCTTCCATCATCGCTGGGAAGACTATCTCGAATCCAATGGGCATGTGATTGTCGTCATCTTCCTCCAGTTTCTAGATGTTGGATTGCAGAAACTGGACTCCTGGATAGAGTCCAAACCCACTATAGTTCAGAGGTGCGAAAACAGTGTCTTAATGTGTGGACGAAAGAGCAAGTATGTTGGAGGATTGTGAGAGAGACAGAGAACTCAAGTTTGTATTCTTACCACGCTCCATGTTCTGAGCCCCAACTTCCCAAGTTTTCAGGGCAACTACGCAGGCGAGAGTGTTGCAAACGCGATCGTGTCCAAGGAATAGAGACGGTTCACCCCAATCGCCGTCCGAGAGCTGGTTATCCATAATCCACTGCAAAGAGAGAGGGAACTGAGGGCTGTGGGAGCCATCCAGCGCTGGCACTCGCGCCACCCAAGCTGTGTCGCATGGAGACATGGATATTTCCCCCAATGTCATATTTCGGAAGTAATTGCTGATTTCCTCGATCCATTCGTTCATCTGTGCCTTCTCAGTCGCCTTTCGTGGCGTGGATCACACGCCATGCACAACACGTCAATCTCTAAACCCTTAGGATGAAGAACGCGAGTAAAATAAGGTTGTGATTATAATCATCTTGGTTATCAAATTCTGCAATGAGTCACTAAACGTTTGGGATTATGTCTTCACATAAAACACCATTTCATGAGGTGACATGGTTTTATAAAGCATTGCACATCCTTGGTGAAAAAAAAAAAAAAACAAAACAAAACAAAACAAAACAAACCAAAACAAAGTTCAATAAGAGACTTGCAAATTATCGCGTCTGGTACCTGTAACAGCCATTCCGTTATTTGTAAGGTTTCTGACCATATATCTGGTGCGTAAAAAGTGGACTGGATGTTAAGTTTCCATAGATACTGCATCATTAGCCAACGAACATGATTAGAAGCACTGATGAAGTGCAAAATGTGTTTTTCTTCAAGACTGCTAACTGTAACATTCATGCGATCACATATCAAATTGTTCACTACTTGCGGCTCTTTCTTACCCTTGTCTTTTAATTTTTAATTTTTGCCGAGTCGGTAGGAAGAAAAAATGACAGCCAATATGGAGACACACGACATCTTCATTTTCCCGTCTTTGTTCAGACATCTACGACATATTAAAGTGAAATGAAATTGTATACCTGAATCAATGACGCACTGCTGTAAGACTGCTTGCTTCTCACTCGGAAGCTTGTGAGTAAGGGACCCCTCCTGCAAGTGATCGTTTGAAGGAGGATTGATGCCCGAGGGTTCAGTTACAATACTGTAAGATCCGCTACCTGGTGAAGAAAGCCAAAACTGTTTAGTTGGTGAGAGTTGGGTAAACGCGCGCAAAAGATGAACCCAAAAGACGGAATTATTAGACTCAGAGATGCTACGCAAGTAGTTTAGATTCATTTATTCCGTTTTTTCGCCTGTATTGTGTTCGAATCAAAAGGGTATGAAATGTCAGAAGACTTTGTGAAACAATTAAACGTGATTGAAGTAGTACCCAAACGTGTTTCATTGTGTCTAACGAGTGTGAAAATTACATTTTTGAAGCAAACCTAGCAAACTATTCTGGTCCAAGTGTAGGTGAATTACACAGTAACAATGACTCATTCATGTACCCCTCACTCAGTTCAGCTTGTTCTTATGGTTTTAAAGATTACCAGGAGAGCGCTGGAGGACAGATTCAGTAGCTCGCAAATATAGACGTTTCTTCAGGCATTGAACTGCAGCATGAATACTAGCGCCTGGAAAACGTAGAGATTGCCCTCGAAAATTCTGAAAGGAAGACAGGCTTGACGTACCGCCAGAAGAGTGATTCTGTATCAAGGTGCTGGAAGCCATCTCTTTCAGTCTTAATAATTCTTCTTTCGACGTTGAGACTTCTGATATAGTCTTCCCTGGATATAAGAGTCTGATGATTCGGTTTCACTCCCTTCTCCTACTTGTGTTACTCGATGAGTCGGAAACGCCACCCCCGTACCTGAACGGCTCCCCACCCAATTAAAATCACTTAAAAGATCACATGAAACGCCAAGGAGTTCGTTCAGCATCTTCAGCAAACCGGTAGCAAGAATAGCGCGAACATCACCACCTGCAATGACAAAAAAGTGCAACCGCAAAACAAACAAGACGTCATACCCATGACAACGTAGACTGTGAAACCTAGAGACGAACACCACCTTGAGAACCCACCAGTTTGGCAGAACACAGCTGAGCTCGGTCACCAAGCATGCATTACCTGCATCAAGTTTCGGAAGGATTCAAACTAGCACCCAGTCATCAGCAAAGATGAATGTGCCGAACGACCAGCACGTTCGTGACACAAGCCTTGTACCTGATCACAAGAGCATGTCGAACATTGCTGTCTTCAGCACTGTTTGAGGCTGTGGAAACCAATCATCCAGTGATTGGTTGCAATTCTGATCTGCAATTCGTGAGAGTCAGCCGGTGATTGAGGTCACTGAATCGAAATCATGTAATGGTCTAAATCAACGTCGCTGAATTTAACCCGTGGGCAGCTATGAAACCAAATGCTTTCCAGTCTCAAGTTGCAAGTTTGGAGACCGGGCGGATCTACCTGATTCTCAAAAGGATCGGTAGATGCTTTTGAGGAACCACCTGTCTCTTCTTTCCAACAAGATTCCTTTGAACCAATGTTAAATTTCCAAGTGCAAATTCATTAATTTCTTCATTTATTTATTCCATTTGTTGAAATCACGACAGGCTTGACCATCTTTAGCTATCCCAAGAATTATGATGTATGGGGCTCACGTGGATATATAGGGAAGGGTGGATACATGTATACTTTGCTACATTTCCCATTTATCCATGCCATATGAACTCCTACAAATCAGAGAAACTACTCAAAGATAAGTTCATTGAATAAAAGACCACTTCATTGAATAATAGAAAACATTTCAAAAGGACTTTAAACTACACAAAGAATAGAATAGCACACTGCACTAAAAACTAAATGTCTATTACTAGATTGAAATCCCTATTGTGTGGAATCCTAACCTTGACTTATGGATCCCCCTCACGCGCTACAACAATTGGAACAGAGCATGTGTTGAGACAAACAAGATGGAGCTGGGCTTGATGGGAGGGGGGGGGGGGATGAGCGACATGGCATTCGATGCAGGGCCAGGGGTGCCTTCCGATGGGGGCGGCAGCGAGAATGTTGGCGGTGGGTGAGAGCCTCCAAAATCTGGGCCATATTTAGGTGCTCGGCTAAACTGGTCCCCCTCGCTAATCTTCTCCATCGCACAATGTGGCGTCTGATTTGCTGGCACACATACACCCCACTCGCCATGGAATGCTTCTGAGCAGGTGGGTCTCACTCTGAAACCACTTTCCTTTCAGATGCTCTCGCTCAATCTCCTGTTGATTTGTTAGAAGCTGGAGTCATGGAATGTAATTCATTGTTGCTGTGCAGATGGACTGCATAGGTGGCTTTCTGATGTGGTTATGGTTTCTGTTAGGTCAGGGTCGTTGGTTGGTGAATGAATCCAAGTGCCGAGGTTGTTGCCATGGCAGCAGAACCGGCGAGTGATTTTCTTTTTCAAGGCAGATCTCTCTTTTATGTGAGAGTGGGAAATAACTTGAGCAGGGGGTGTAGAGATCAGTTGTCATCTTCTTTGTGTAGGTTTGATGCGTGAGAATGACCATCGAATCGTATGTTCTATCTCTTGCACTCAGCTGGAGGGGGGGATTTTTGTGGCTAAGAGCTAGTGAGATTGTGCGAAGGATTTGGAATGTTTGCTCTCAGTGGGAGCCTTTGTGTTGAAGGTGTTCTGAATTGTTGTTTGGTGAATGAAACATCCGTTTGTGTACTTGAACCGTGCACTGCTAAATCAATGCGAAGACATATGGAGCGAGTTTATGGAACTTTCTGAACTGGGTCTCTCTGTTTAGTATCCCAGGTTCCAGCTCCAGCTGAATCGAATCACCGAGTTTAGGGTTTAACACTAACTTGATCATCCGTCAACAGCGATAACAGTGTTCATACACATGGTGTGGAGGTAGCCACGGAAAAGGGGGGAAGAGTTGCAGAGCAGTGACTTTCATGTTCAAGTTGGCGCCGAGATTCCTTGGTGTAGCGAAGTTGGGATGTTAAAGAATGATAGGAGATGGATGGGAGATTGGGCCTCATTCTTCTCGTAGGCAGAGTGGGGTGAACAGTCCTCGGAGACTGTCTCGCACTCTAGACGCCTCTCGTGACTTCGACTCTTTTATGGAGTTTCCGAAGCTCCTGCAGAGGGGAGCATCTCTCAAGGTCCTTTCTCCAGCCAGATATCAACAGTACTCAAATGCGCAAAATGTCCGATCTACCTGCCAGAAAACGGCCTGGATGTCCCTTGGTCTCTGTCTGAGCTCCCTCCTCCTCCTCTACTTTCTCTTGCTGAGAAGGAGCCAATATGTATCACACCGTCAAAGTAAGGGTTATGGGGTGATCATAGACATCGGCCAGCGACAACAATCTCAATACAGTTCAAACATTGAGGCAAGGGTCCACATATTTACATTTGAGGATACCAATGCACTGACAGTAAAGGTTTTAGGTGAAAAGCCAAGCCGTGTTCTTTTTGATGAATCTAGCGGTGAATATGATGCATCTACTTCTTTCGGTGAACTTCTCGTGTTTGCCAAGGAGCTCGTACCTGAGCTCGAAAGGCTCCAAACCAGGCTTTATGTTCTTGGAACTGGAGGTTTACAATGGGCGCCTATTGCTAAGTGGTTTGAGCTACTTCAACAGTGTCGAAACGTTTTTCGTGAATCAGGATTCCAGTTTCACGATGATTGGGCTTTGGTTGTGAACGGTGTGTTTCAAGGCTTATGATGATAGGTTTTGGTGAAAAACCATGCGTTCTTATTTGACTATCAGCAGGGTTTAATTGAGGATTTTCTGTGACAGGCAGGGACCAAGGTGTCTATGAATGGGTGGCAGCTAATTACGCTCACGATACGCTAAAAAGTGATTCCGCAGACACAATTGGGGTCCTCTCCTTGGGCAGTGAATCAGCACAGGTCCCACACTCTGCACCTCAACCCAATCTCGTATCACTAGAACAGTTTGTATATCTGCATGAATTGGTCCTAATGCTGGTGTTGAACAAATTGAGTGCATGTTTCAAATTGTTGGTGAGAGGCTTAACAACAATTTGAACTCTGAGGTTCCTTGTGAAGAGACGGAAAGTAAATAGAGTTTGCAGTGTTTGCACATTGTTTGCAGGTCACTTTCATTGCAGAAGTAACACCTCCTCCTGCATATCTTTACAAAATTGAGCTATGGGGAACAACTCACGAACTGTATTCCTACAACTTTGAGAAACTTGGTCTGGTAAGGACCCTTCTTGTTGAGATATCCTAGTGCAGCTGTTTATATCTGACAATAAAGTATATGTACAGTACCTCGTGGATTTGCTGAAGGCAGGATTGTTGAAGGATACAATGAGTCACATTTAAGTCATCGCATTAAGTAGTTACACCATTCTACTGGAACCGCCAGTGTGATCATAGAAAGATGTTATTTAAACCACTTTCCTTGGATTTTTATGTGCAGGAATCAGCATCAGACGGCTTACTGAAGTTATTGCACGCAAAAGAAGTTGCATCATGTGCGTCATTGACCGAAAATGTGTTTGTAATTCGCAGCTAGTACTTCAGCAGTTTGTACTTAATTTAAATAACAACGCTGACCTCGCAATTTTGATTTCATTTTGCAGCGGTAGGCCCTACAGATAACATAGTCGTGGTAGATCCTTGCCAACCAACAGGGTTCGAAGCCGATGCCAACTACTTGAAAACGCCAGCCAGAGATTTTCTTATAATGCCCACAGGCAATTTCACTGCTTGCCGAGCAGAATCTCATGCGCTGCTTCATCAGGGTCGAGGTATATTGGTGCATGATGAAGCCATAGACTCAAATCAGTTGCTATGGCAACTTTTCAAGTTTGGAGGTGTTGATTCCATTTGTTTAGCTCCTTTACGAGAGGTTTTCTGGACTGTCACGCTGTTCTATCCATTTGTAGCTTACAATTTTTCCAGTCCTAACGTTAAGAATGAATGCTCATAGCTTGGTGCTATGCCTCTCTTTGGTTCTTGTAGATGCTTGTCTGGACAGTAACTGTCCCATTGAAACCACTTTTGTTCCCGACCTTCGTGGAAACTTCATAGCGACTGGATACTTTTATCAAACATCAAAGGTGTAGTTTCATGAGCTATTTTTTGCTTTCCATAGGTTTCAGAGATTCGCTTGCATTAGCTTACGTGTTATCCTCTTGCTTCCTTTGTGACGTCTTCAAGCCTAGATGTTTGGAATAGAGGCCAAGTTACTAATACTCAGTTTGCCTCACTTCTTGCTCTGTCAATCATTAGAAATGGTTAATCTTAACCCTCGTGTGCTTAGAAAAGCTACGATCAATTCTCTCAGTTTTATAAACTCATCAGGATGTTCGGTTACACTTGCGTTTCATTGGAACAGCTGTTGGAAGCTACGGGATCATTAGCTGAACTTGTAGTTGCCGGAGAGAGATACTGTTCAGCAGGTCAGAATAGCAAGCGAAATATCTGCTTCTCAGCTGCATACATCGTGGCATTCCTACATGACAGTTTAGGTCTTCCAGACCACGGCAATAAGTAAGATCTCTCATCCATTTTAATCATGTTTTTGTTTGCGTGGAATTGATCAACTGCAATTACCTCTGTATTTGTCTAAGTTCTACGATCTGGACACTTCTAATGAGATTATCTGCGGCAGAGTCTTGTTCACTGATTCAGTGAACAGCGTGCCAGTGGAGTGGACTCTTGGATTCTTTATATCACGCCTTTCAGAGGACAAGGCTGCGTACTCTCCATTGATCTTGTTTGAAGGGTTTTTCGGCATCGTTCTCTTATTTCTGGGCCTTTTAGCTACAGGGTCCTTGATATTTTGGTTTGTGACAAGGTTGCGAAGGCCTCAGCACAAAACCATTTACGACTTAGAAAAAGGTAGATATTTTACGACTGCTGCTCGCGGTCGGTGATATACAAGTTGGGATATTCCATCTACATCCTCATCTATGTATTTTATCCACTTGAAGACAGTTTCTCACTCATCTCAGATTACATTTTTCTTTTGCTTGCGGCTTATGTGGTTTGGGTATGTTCTATTAATTTGCTTTCAACTCTAATATGGTCTCCAGGAAGTGTAAATATTCGTGGCAGAAGTTAAATCAAGTATTTATATGAAGAAAAGCCTTCACATCACTCCAGAAAGTTCTTAAAATAATTCAAATTGCTCCAAAATAAAGTAGTTGCTCATGACTATTTAACGGACCTATCCTTCCATCAAACAGCAGATGTTCTGAAGGAAATCGCGAGCACTGATTCTCAAAAGAATCAATCGACCTATAAAATCACACGCAGTGATGACAAATATAACTGTTGCCAAAACCTACGTATCTATTAAATTTAAAAATAAAAATAAAATAAAAAAAAGCTCGTAAAGAATTTGCATTCATGACAGTGAAGGTATCAGTGCACAGCGACAAACCCATATAGCATGAGCCCAGCATTTCTGTAAGCAGGGCCTTTCGTCCTCTCTTTCATTTTTTCTACCAAACAGATTACGTCTATATACTTTACACTCAAAGGTCTACCCTAACAAGTGATTAACAAGTATCGGGTTCAATAGAACTTAGGAGGCCGTTCGTCCTCAGCTGCATACAATAGTCCTCGGCATCTTCTTGAGGGCACACTATAACAACTGCAATACCGTTGATGTGAGCCTCATTCATGACATTCACAGCAATGTCAACGGTCATTCCGGGGATAGCCTTCAGCAGAACTTGGACAACATATTCACGCTTATTGAAGTTGTCGTTGTGGAGCATGACACGATATGGAGGTGACATTTTCTTCTTCTTCCTATGGTACACGAAGACAGCCAGAAAAATTCAGAAAATGCCACCTGAAAATTGAAACTGCAAATGTAAATGCTGAAACATGTTGATAAGAGGCATGAATAGACGCTCTTCACATGTAAGACTTGATTGAACCAAGACATAGGAAGAGCAGTGAAGGACCCACTTTAGATCAAACTCGCTCTCACGACCTGGAGTGGGCTTATCAATGGTTGGTCTGTCCATTACACCCCCTCCTTGGCCAGGAGCTGCAGCATCACGAATTGCGTATCTTCCATTTACTTTATCACAGACTCTTTGCACCTTCTCCACAACTGCACAAACGACAACTCTTTGTGACCCACATCGAAAATTCTTCAAACCGTGCTCCAGTTCTCTTCCTGTATTGTGACGGTGGCATATAAAAAGATCATCATGAGGCTTCACCCATAAGCACGTCATGCCAAAGAAGAGCTCAATTGGCAATTTATGATATTCCATTATCAATTCCCGTGTCGAAAAATGTCATACCTTTAATTCCAGTGTGGCTTGTTACAGGAGGAACAGTGATAAACAGGCGAAGGCTCGCCGCCATCCCTGCGGGTAGGCTGTAGAAGCAGAGAGAAAAAAAAAAGAGATAGGAAGCATCATGCCTCTTTAGAAACTGGAAAACGTTGGAAATTTTACCAAGAGAGAAGGCGACAGAAGCTAAGGTTGCAATTTCGCGACAAAAATGTATCACTCTGACCACTATATTGAGCAATTCGAGAAATAATACATTGAAGAGAAAAAGCCACGAGAAACGGCGGTTAAAGGAGAACCGAGGTCCTTGACAATGAATCCCTACCAGATACCTCAACAACTAGTAATCCAATCAAATTCAACACAAGGGAGGTTCTTCACGGGACAAGAGATGGACAAACCTCAATGTCTTTTCCAAAGCACCAAGCAGCATAAGCCCTCGAACTTCGAATTAGAGACAGCTACGACAACATAGCCTCAATTACAGGTAGGTCGCCGCCTCAAACCGACTTGTTCCTCTGTAAAACATTTCCGACACGCTAAGAATGTGTTCAACATTCACAATCCAACTTGCGAATTCCCACCACAGAGAGTTCCCACTTGGGAATTCTCCTGAAACCATGCATGAAACCTCTCAGCAACGACTCATTCTTCCAGTGTATCAGGACACCGCACCCAAATACCCAAAATCACCAATCCGAAAAGAGGGATACACTAAAAGAAGTCGTGAGAAATTCCACCGCTATCACGCCACTCATGATCTCGCCCCCAATTGTTCTACTCTCAACCTCGATCATTCAACACAATGCTCCGCAAAAATTCTGTCATCAACCAATTACAAGCATGCATGGAAACCACCTGCTAAACCCCTCGGATCTTCTGCGTCACAGTAACCCAGGTGACGAAGTTGGGCGCCAGCGCGACACGAGCACAATGCAGGCGGAGGTGGTGATCCCCTTGTACGGGAGGTGGTGAAGAAATCACGAAGAGCGGCATTGCAAAAGTGGGATGCACAGCAAAAGGCGCTCGTGGTGGACGAAGAAGCGGAAGTGTGTGGTTGCGAGGGCAGCGGGTTGTCCCCTGGAGGATTCCATCGTCGGAATGGGCCTGCGCACGGCGACCATTCTGCTATGGAATGTGCGTGCGGGGGAGGATTATCTACGATAGATTGAGCTTGCGGAGGGCGACCATTCTGGAGAGGAATCCGCGGGGGTGTGACTTCCTTGAGCACTGTGGGAACAGGACCTGTCACATGATACAAGTTACGCTTTGATGCATATTTGTTGGTGTGAACTCAAATGCTTGGTGATTTTTATGGTGCAAATAAACTGAAGTGTTGTGAAATACTATTTTTTGTCTGAATTGAAAAAATAAAAGAGATCAAACATTGAAATTGAAGATTTATATTTCAAAAAAAACAAATTTACATGTTTGTATACAAACATTGTTGAAGTAAACGTCTTGAAACACCTTGTTAATAGTTGTTTGTAATATCATCTTGAGAATGTCACTAAAAGATCATCATACATTTTGTGGATGAACAGATCACAAAATTTGGAAGTAATAGGTAGTGCCATTCGACTCCAAAGCCTTGTAACAACAAGACTCACATATACTTAAAGTTACTTAGTATTTCTCAATAAAAGGTATGAGTTTGATTATTCAAACTCATTAGGGTAGCATTAGAATCATGATAATTACTACTGAAGGTTGCTCCTAAATTAGCTTTATTGCACTCATTAGAACAAGTTCATAGTAGTGAGCTCCATTAGTATAGCACTACTTTCAAGGCTTGTAGTTCTTTCTTCTTATATTACATAGTCAATGATATTAAGCAATAGTCATCTATGATTATGATTGAAGTGGATAACAAACTAGAAGATGTCAAAAACTACAATATGTGGAAATAAAAATGAAAGCAATATTGAAGAAAAAAACTTGTGAGATTTAGTAGAGAAGAAGATGGTACTATCATCATTTCTCATCATTATTAGAGCATCAATATTTATGGCTAAGCAATTCAAGATCCATAAAGTCAAGGCCCATTAATTATAATGGCAATAAAAGATGAATTTATAGAAAGAACTTTTAAAAATAATGATCTTATTTATATTTAGGAAGTATTAAAAAACATCTTTGAAACAAAAGTTTTATCACAAATTCTTTTATTATCCTTAAGACTGCATAATATGAGAATAGTAGAAAGGAAGTTCAATTGAGGAATATCTACAAACTACTTAAGATCTAAGGAGCATCTTGTTTACACTAAGATACAAAGTAGTAGACAAAACCTTTATTCAACTCACATTGAATGGCTTCTTTTGAGTTCCAAAAAGATAATAGAAAATATGATTCTTTTAGATAAACTACCAAGTTTTGTGTCTATTAATTTGAAATTATTAAATAAATTACATTGCCTTGAAGTACACAAGAACATGTTGAAAGTAGAAGAAGTATTAGCTATGTAATTCTCACAAAGTTACTCTTTTCTTTGTAATTAAAAGCGTAGAAGATCACAAAATTAGTATAGAGTAAATAACTTATATGAACTAAGTAATTAATTGGAAAAAAGACAAAACCACACCATTGGCAAAGTGTATATTAATGATTGTTTCAAATCAATCTATGTTGTCAGAGTAGAGAGAGTTTGCCTCAAGAAAGCACTAGGCTCCTTGATGTCACTAATTGCTCAATCAAGCTTCAAAAAAAAGAAGCTCTAAGTTAATATATAAAATTTTTCTTTTCGAGAAATTACACCAAATATACAAGCCTCAAGTAACCAACAACACCCAAAATATGATAAAATTTCTACTTCCTTGTATATCCTTTTGTAAAAAAATTTCCAAACTTCAATACCTCATAACTCCTGATTCGACTATCCAAACTTACTCAAATTTTATATGAAATATTGATGTATTCTTATCAACTTCTACAACAAATTTCAATTACAAATTTATTGAAGATCTTGAGATATCTTGAAAATCCTAACAATCACTTCAAACCCTTATTTTTATACACCCGCTGTCGTATTACGTGCTTTCCTGCTCGAGAACGCGTCGGGCGTCTGGCTGTAGAAGGTAGTATAGAGATTCGCCAATATTCAAGCAGTCTATCAGTTTTTGACTATTGGAATATAAACGATTACAAGAATACACCGTAAATCTATACGGATACCCTTCGACTGCTCGCCGAAGTCCTTTTTTGCCCCAGCCGGTAGGTCTCTAGACGTTACAGAGAACCCCGAACAACCCAAACTGCTAATCTTCGATGCCGCTTTATACTCACGATCTTGTATCCACTAACTATCTCATTAGAGTAACCCAATAAATTTCATTCACTCCACATACTCAATCATATAGACACCCTTTTAATCCTTCAATCACAGACGTAACCTCGATTTCACAAAATAGTGAAGAGTAATCACACCCGCTTCATTAAAACCATGATTCACTAGTACAGCACTGACTTCAGCAATGATTGCCTCAGTCTTCCCAAAACCCTATGAAAAAAAACCCAATTCTTTGTCTTTTTTCTCCTTCCTGAAGCATGAAGCTCCCTCTCTGATCCTTTTCAAAACTTCCCCAATTCTCTTAACCTATCCTCTACTTTAACCCTAATTCTCTCCTCTTTCAAATCCTAGCCTCTGAATTTCTTCAATCTTCCATCGTGGATCCGGAATTGGCTCCTTCTGTCCTGGATCCAGAATTGGCTCCTTCCGTCTTGGATCCAGAATTGGCTCCGTCGTCAGAGCTTTCTCCTCCGTTTTTACATTTAAGAGATCCTTTTATCGAAAGGACGTTATTGGAACGGCACAAAGAACAAAACAGCCTGAAACGGAATCGGAACCCCCGTAATCGGGACCACATTGAGTCGCCCGACCAATTCAGGTCTCATATTGGCTAAGAGGCCCGTAGCAAGACCTGGATGTTCCCGTAGTTGGACCGCATTGGGTTGCCCGACCAATTTAGGTCTCATATTGGCTAAGAGACACGTAGTAAGATCTGGATTGGATGTCTTGAAATTGGATCCAATTGGCTCTTCGAACCAGGCTCACCCGTCGTTGAATTGGTCCTTTCCCTTTCTGCTGACTCTCGTTATTGGAATCGAACGGAGCATTTCAGTATGCCCCGACTGACTGTAACGGGATGACCGAACCTGGCCTCCCAGTATTTGCATTGGAATTGGTCGTTGCTCCCAATATTCGAGGTAACTGAACATTAATAAAAGTCTCCTTTCTTTATATTTTCACGGTATACTCGTGTTACAACACGACACCGCATACAATTTTTTTTATATCTCACAAAATAAAAGCTCAAGTACCACCATATTTGTATGTATAGCTTTATAATACAAAATTTTTCATACTCCGAAAGTTTGAGCCAAAAATTCATGTGAAAACTCAAGTTATGGCTCCAACTATTACTATAAACAAAATTGCTCACTTATTGCCTTTGATTTCAAAGCATTGCCTTCAACTCCTTATATCTCCTTTATATGAATTCCAAAAGTAAAAATTCTTTTATAAAAGATATAGGCCTTAAAATCATCAGTCTAGCCGCATCTTTTGATCTTCAAAAACTATCGTACAATTCCTCATATTCACAAAAGAGTAACAATATGTCTTAAATTGACACCTTAACTTCAAACGTCTATAACTTCTTCATCCTAACTTCAAATCCTCTAATTTTTGCACACAAATTGTAGTCCAAATCCTAAATATTATAACACTAGCTTCTAATTTCCGAATGCCTTCTTTGAAGTCACTCAAATCTTTATTAAGGTCATGGACAGCCTTCTCAAAGTCCATTGGGCATAGTATTCGACCAACAGGGATGAAGTTCCCCATTCCTTGCCTTTATCTGACCATGCCTTACTTTCATTCCTCCCAATTAGCCTCCCACTATTTTGGATTTTCTTTCTTAGGCTTCCACCTTCTTTCAAGGCTTCATATTAAATATTTAGGTCCTATATATATATATATATATATATATATATATATATATAATGCCAAAATCAAAAAAAGTAAAAAAAACAAAGTAAGGTTTTTTATACCAACTCCTTTTAATTCAATCTATTAACCACTCTAACACACATCTAGATTTGTCAACATATAATATGTTTTAACTATATTTTACATACTATAAGCATTTATAGTATGACAATGTGTGGAATTCAGATACTTTGTATGTGGATCATTTAATCACCTTGCTTTTCTCTGCTACATCAAATATTCTATATAAAAAGAAAATACCAATATCAATATAGTAATCAATAAGCATCACAATGTTTTGAATGTTGTTGTTATTCTCATTGTGTTCAAGCTTCAATATACCAAAGCAATTGAACTAATAGAGGTGGATTCGAAGACGGAGAAAGACTGGTTATAGGAATTGGATCCGTTAGTATCACAATTGATTGTACTCTGGCTATCTGAAATCAATTATCAAACTACAAAACACCAAGGCTTACTACTTCCGTCTTAATTCAACACATAATCCATTCTACGACTATCAATTCAATAATACTTCCGTATTTTTATCTGTTCATCTCCCAGTTACTCTCTTTGCGGTTTATATATATTCAATTACTGATCTCCAGCTTACTTATTATATTCAGTTTCTCAATTCATCACACAGAATTCAATATCTTCACTTAACACAACACAATTTGATAATCTCAATTCTCAAGGTCATAGATTTTTTCCCAAATGGTCAGTCCAAAGTCATGTTCGACAATATTCTAATCACAGTTTCAAGAATACTTCTCTCAATCACAATTCTTCATAAGCAAATAATAAAAGCAAAGAAAATAAAGAGGTAGCACCAAGCTTACCCCGGTTTACGACTCTCACAGTCTGGCTCCCTAGCTTATGACTCTCACAATCTGGCTCTCCGGCTTATGACTCTCACAGTTTGGCTCCCCGACTTACGACTCTCACAGTTTGTCCCCCCCCGGCTTATGACTCTCACAGTCTGGTCCCGATGTTCCACTTCTCAACTTCTTTATCCTACTAAAAGATGGACCATTGGTCAGCAGATTCCAAAGATTATGATCTTTTGAATTCTTAACCATTTGTTCTACTAACATCCTACTGTTATCAACTAAACTCCCTAACCATAAGTCTAATTCTCAAGGTTGTCAATAATCAACCAGTAACTTATTATAAAATTTATTTACCTATTCTACAATTGTCAAAGATATAAACATTATACTTATTGAAATAACACAAGAGCTAGAAAAAAAAAACAATCTTGGTATCTTGACTTTGGAGCAACTTGCTATATCAGAGAAAATAAGAACTACTTAGAATTATATGCACCAAAATATCATAGAAAAATATTAATAGTAAGAGAAAAAAACATCCAATAGTAAAAATTAGCAATGTCATACTTTATACTACTAATGGTGAAATAAAATTCAATAAGATTTTCTACATGTTTAATCTAAAAAAACTTAATTTCAATAGGATGTTTAGTTGAAATTGAAGAGATAGTAGTATTTTCTAACAACCAATGTTGGATCATAAATCAAAACAATAAGCTAACTATGATAGGTCATTATGATCAAAAAAATAGTCTATATATGATGAATAATATTCTCTTTATACAAGCTAACCAGACAATCGACAGTTTACGAAGAACCACAAGATTAAGTAGGAATATGAAATATATTGAGTTGTGGCATTAAAATTAGACACCTAAATTACAACAACTTCAACTATCTCTCATGACATAATAAAGTATTAGATATACCACTACTTAATTTAATAAAAACTCTATGTGAACAATGTATGGTTAGAAAATAATATTGTGAGTGGTTTCTAAAGAAATATATTACTTGAACTATAAAAATATTTGGACATATAGCTTTTATTCATATATAAAAAATACAACAAAAAAAACTAGAATAAAAAATCAAGAAGTGCATACTTGTAGGCTTTGACAAACAAACCAAAGCATACAAGTTGTTAGATCCACTTACCTGAAAAAATATTAATTTCTAGAGATGTTATATGCAATAAAATTAAATTTGGCCTTTAGTATCTTACAATTCCAATGGATGCATGCAAAGATAATATAGTCTTTTAAAATTCAAAAAACAATGAATCCAATGTAATTGACTTAGACCATCTATAGTTCATACAGATAAATACACCAACATATGAGTACAACAAAGAAGTAAATACTCTAATTGAATCCAACATTGAAATTGAAACTGACAATAAAATGGAAACAATAGGTAATAAGACATACCAAAGATAATTTTTTTGGAGTAGAAGGCTAAGTATTAGGTTCAAAGACTACTTTATATTTTTTTGTAGAAAATACAACTAAAATAACTTTGTAGAAAATTACATAGTTAAAAATAAGCTATTGGATATAAGAGATGGAAGAAAGCTATATAGGTGGAAATTAATTTAATTACTAAAAACAACACTTAAAAAATCATAGGTTTATTAGAAGAAAAACTTGCAATCACATTAAAGTGGATTTTCAAGATAAAAGATAGAAACAATGACAAATCAAATAGATTAAAGACAAGATTAGTCACTAGAAGGTTTGAACAAATACAAAGAGCTAACTACTTCAATACATACACTTTAGTTATTCAATGGAGCACCATCAAATCCTTATTGATATTTGTAGCTTAAAAGAATTATAATTTACAATAACTAGATATAAAAATTTCCTACTTAAATGGTATTTTAGATGAAGAGATCTATTTGCATAAACCTTTAGGTTTCAAACCTTGATATAAGAAAAGAAAGTGTGGAAATTGATTCAAGCCTTATATGAACTTAAATAATTACCATTAGCATGGTATTCACAAATAGATGCATATTTTATAAACAAAATACTTATTAAGAATTTAGCGGAATACAACATGTATTACTCAGTTAATAATACTTAATATACAATCATACTATTATTCATGGATGATCTTATTGTTATAAGGAAAAATTCAAAAATATTTTAGAATTTATTATCACTATTGCTAAAAATCTTTGAGATAATTGAATTGATAAAAGCCATTACTTATCTTTGAGAAAAAAATTAATGGGATTCATTTCTTAAATAGATACATGAAGAAAATTATATCAACAAATTATTACATAAATTTGATATAAAAAATTGTAATCCAATCTAAACTCCTATTTGCTCCAATACTTACCTTTAAGCCAATATGAAAAAAAAATTGTTGACAAATTTATTTACCAATCGTTGATAGGAGGATTATTATATATCATTGTGATTTTTAGGTCTAATATTAGATTTTCTATTAGTATTCTAATAAAATATATTCAACACCAATAAGAAAAATATATAACCGTTATAAAACAAGTATTGAGATACTTCAAAAGAGTTGATAATGTTGGAATTTTCTTTCCACAAATGAAAAAATTATACTAGGAAGCTTTATAGATGTCAAATATAGTAGAGATCTAGATACTAGATGATCCATTTCTAGGATAATATATAAGATTAATGAGGCACCAATTAAATGGTCCAGCAAGAGACAAGCAATAATAGCCAAAGCACTATTGATGCCAATTATAAAGTATTTTTATAAGCCACAAAAGATGCCATATATTTATAATAGATGTTACAAGAATTGCAAATTTGTAGTACCAACTCATTCCTAGTTCTTAACAACAATCAAAGTTATATCAAACTTATAGATAATTTAATATTATATTCTCAAATACAATATATAGAAATCTAGTTTTATTTTATTAAAAAATGTATACATGATTGAGGACATATTCGTCAACTATATGCCTACATCTAAGTAAAAAGCCAATATTTTGACTAATTCTTTAGAAACATTTACATACAGTTATCTATATAAAGCAATAGGCATCCTACCAACTCCGTACAAATTACACAATCTACATTCATTCTTTCAATAACTATCAATTGATTCAAGATTTTTGAAGGACTTAAACCTAGCTCCCTTGACTCCATCTATCTATATAGAGCATTTGCTCTAGGATCTATAAATTCCAAGCCAAACTCCACCTTAAACCACAAAAAACTTATCAAATCTATTTCTAGCAGTGTCACGAATAATATTTATTGTAATTATTACCTAGTTAATATGAATAGGTAGAAGTAGATAAAAGTAGATTAATTTCATAATACCTTCTAAAAAAGCTTTCTAAAAGCTTTTTAGATGCTATTTTAACTTTAAATGTATTTTTAGATGATTAATAGGTTAAAAACTTGGTCAATAAGTCAACCACATGCCATATGTATTGGTAGCTTATAAATCAAGCTAACTATGTGGCGCCTATATAGAAAATTTGCCTTGTAAATTAAGATATGTATCATGCAAAGTCAACATGTTTTTAGAGGTCTTATAGAATGTCGCCACAAAGATTCTAGGTGGATAGTATATATGGAGGCAAGAGTGAAGCCTTCTTCACTCTTATCAACACCTTTCTTACTTCTAGTCTAGTTTCAAGAGTCTTTAATTTCCTTGTCTTTTAGCAATAGCCATTCTAGTTTCTTTTTAGTATACATACTTCTGTATTTCTATTTTTTCATATTTTTTTGAGAGAGTTTCACTTGTGTATTTACTTTTATTGAGTTCTTGTCCTTAACAAGAAGAAATAAATTCCTTTGCTTTAAAATCTAATTGATGTAATACCAATTCAAAGCAAGTTTCTCATACATTTCTACTTCTTGCTATAGATTGGAGCAAATGCTTTATTAAATCCACAACCAAAGAAAAGAAACTTGAACAAACTTTGTGAAATGCTACTACAATCAACTACAATCTTAATGAAACTACTTCCAATTACAATAATATTAACACAATATTACCAAAAAAATTCAAATCATTTTAAAAAGAGGTATCAAGTAGTTTCTTACAATATACATTTCATCAAGCTCCAACTACAATCGATCCATTTCTATCAAACATCCAAAAACAAAGCAAGAGAGTTTTGGTACAACACAAAGTGTTGAAATAAATGCCTCAAAATACCTTGTTAATAGCTATTGTGATATCATCTTGAGAATGTCACCTAAAAATCATCATACATTCTATGGATGAAAAAACCACAAAATTCAGGAGTGAGAAGTAGTGTTGTTTGTCTCTTTGAAGCATTGTAACAACAAGACTCACATATAGTTAAAATTACTTAGTATTTTTTAATAATAAGTATGAGTTTGATTATTTAACAAACATTTGAAAAGTTTTATTTTTTTTTACCTAAGATTGTGCAATAGAATTCTTGTGTTCTTATTATGATTAAGGTATCAAAATAAAATCGTACCATTAATTATAAACATTTTCATTATTATTATTTAGTGAATTTTGTTGCCATTTAGTTAAATCTTAAAATCAATATCTTGAAAAAAAGTATGTATCAAATCTTAAGAGGTCGTTAGAACGATGCTACACTACTAAACCAATTATAAACCAATTACTATTTTGAAATCAATTCTCCTCAGCTTCAAAATAGAATCTTCCAGATTCGTTGTTGCACTTTGTAAAAGCTTTGAGCCAAGCCAAGTTGAACGGAAGCGCTACGAGAAAGGAAAAATCCGATGAACGAACACGAGTTTTCGTCCGCATGCGAGGCAGCTCCATCGTCATCGCCGTGAATCCAATTCTTCCGTGGCCCACCTTCCCCTTCCATCAACATTGTCGTGCCAATTTTGTGAGTTGGGAGCTTACATTGCATATTTGTACAATCGCTGAGGACGACACTTTGAGTTTTGTGTTTCCTGACTAGTGAAAATCGTTGAGAATAGTGAGAGTTTAGTTGGCGTTGCCATTTGAATTTGAAGCCCTGGCGATGGCCGACGAGTCGCCGTTCAGGAATACGGTGCTGAAGGGCAAGGTTGCTCTGATCACAGGAGGGGGCTCAGGGATATGCTTTGAAATTGCCACCCAGTTTGGCCTCCATGGCGCAATGGTGGCCATTATGGGCCGCCGGAAGCACGTCCTTGACGCGGCGGTGGCGTCGTTAGAGAGCCTCGGCATCAGGGTAACTTTTCTTCTGTTCTAAGGTTTTGGTAGTGTTTTTGTGGGGCCGATTGTGTGGATGTCTGCGTCGAGTGCAATTGCTAGTTGGGTCCTACCAATTTGCACAGATGTAGAATTTATCGTACAACTATGTGTATTACCTCCTCCCTGAGGATTGGACATTTTGTAAATGGTGTTATGTTTGTGTGTGAAGAGAATGACGGGTGGATTTTGGGGGTCTTAATGGTAAGATTTCTGGGTTAGGATTGATTTACAAGCTCAGAAACGTCGGTAAAAGTATGCCCTCCTCTGTTTAGCGCTGACCCCGAGGTGCCGCTTAATAATCGTAAGTTCTTTTTCGTTAGGTTAGATGGTGATACTGTGAAATTAGCTAGCCCTTGTAGCTTACAATCAAATTATGTATGCCTTGTGTCCTTACCAATATTTTGTTTTTCTAGAATTATTCTGTAGCTGCTCTTGTACGTTTTGAGATGGGAATGTTGTACAAGGTGTGGTCAGAATTTAGACTTAACTACTGCCACTGACTTTCCACTGACTTGACGTTTTGTCGAGAAGGCTGTAGGCGTGCAGGGTGATGTGCGCAAGAAGGAGGATGCCAGCCGTGTTGTTGAGACGGTAGTCGAAGAGCTGGGTAGACTTGATATCCTTATAAATGGGGCTGCTGGGAACTTCCTCTCTGCAGCCGAGGACCTCTCTCCCAATGGCTTCAAAACTGGTGAGGTTTTTTACTTGCTTGTTTCTTTGATTTGGAAATTGAACTTTGGAGTGTAATGAGTAAAGTTGGTATATTTTGTCCTTCGATGCGATTTGCCGTGTATGATCGTTATTTTAGTGAAATCTTAATACGTGGGTATGGAATGGATCTTGTGCAATTTCTTTTGAAGAGTGTCCTCACCGACTCTTGAACTGTTGAAAATGGTGCAGTTATGGACATAGACACCGTTGGAACATTTACGATGAGCCATGCAGCCGTGAACTATCTAAAGCAGGGAGGCAAAGGGAAGGGTCCAAACGAAGGTGGGGTCATTATCAGCATTAGTGCTACATTGCATTACAGTGCAAATTGGTATCAAATTCATGTTTCCGCTGCGAAGGTATAACTCTTGTTTCTTTATTCAACTTCGCTGTCTCCAGTGATGGAGGAGGATTTATTTTATTATTTTTGTGCCCTATAAGCATGAAATTATTGATGTTTGACGTAGCACCTTAGTTTTCTTCCACCTCCAATTATGCACGCTGCATACAGCTTCTTCGTTGGATTGCACCTTACAAATTACAGGATCATATTGCTCGGCACTTGCGGGGTTGTTGTGAAGCATTTTTTATTTAATAAAATTTTAAGTTAAAAATTAAAAATGATTTTTTTGTTTTGTGATGCAGGCTGCAGTTGACAGCCTTACTAGAAGTTTAGCTTTGGAGTGGGGTACAGACTACAAGATTCGATGCAATGGTATCGCTCCAGGTCCCATATCTGGCACGCCAGGCATGGAGAAATTAAATCCGGAGGAAGCTGGAATTTCCTCAGGAGATGCAGTCCCTCTTGGAAAGATGGGGGAGAAGTGGGATATAGCTATGGCTGCCATTTTTCTTGCTTCTGAATCAGGTCACCCTTATTTCGCTAACTGTTAGGTTTTGTGATGGCTTTCACTGTGCGGCATGTGCTGGGGAAGTCCCAAGTGTATGTTCATGTTGAAGCTGAATACTAGAGAGTCGTAGGGAAACATATCAACAGTCAAAGATACTGTACTTCAGCAGTGATTTAAATGATTTTTTTTGTGGTCTCGCAGGTAAGTACATCAATGGTGCGGTCCTTCCTGTAGACGGTGGCTCATGGTTAGCGAAACCGCGTTACATTTCGAAGGAGCAACTGCGCCAGTTCGGTCGTGCAGTTGAACAAAGGTCAAGGAGTAAAACCCAGTTACCAAACAGCAAACTCTAACTATTTTTCTGAGACTAAATGATTATTATGATACGGCGGGGTTTGTGCAAGTCAATGTAGGCAGCGGAGGTTAGTGAGCACTGAGAAGGGATATGGTCTGCTTTTGAACAAATGGCCTTGTGCAAGGGGCTAGGACAATTTCATTGGTGATCAGCTTCAATACATTCGTATAGAAATTTTTAGACTTAACTCTGGACGGTTAAGATGATTCAACAGCAAAGGATTCATACAGAGTCAACAGTGCTCTACGTTCCAAATAACAGATTAGTATAACCTAATAAGTACGGCAATGTTGATCCAAAGGGCCAGGTGGATCCTAAACCCTAAAACCTTCTGTAGGAGGAGAGCTGTCTTAGAAGGAATGAAACCACAATACAGAAGAGGATAAAATTAAAGTGTGACTGTGGAGCTGTATGCGGTAGCTCTGGTTCTGACTGGTTCTCATGTTCATAAACGAGATGCTTCGATATTGGGTGGTATCGATGTCTTTATCTATTTTGGTCCACTTGCTGGTGCTTCACCCACAATGACATTTTACGATGTATTGTGTGTTTATCTTAGAACTAAGAAACCAGATTCTCAACTGTCTGATAACAGCATGGTCTTGTTCCAGTTACTTGATGTAAAACAGATTAATTAAGAGAAAGTCAACTTTTTTCTTGTACTATGTACAATTCTATCATTTTAGCATGAGGGATACAACTGTCAAATTATCTTAAATTTGATTTTAAAAAATAATGATATACAAGTGTATAAAAAATTCTTTTTAGAAATTATTTTAGTTTTATAACATAATTTATTATAATTTTCAGAATTAGTTTTTTTCTAAGTTTCAAAAGACCCTTAAAGTTTGTTATACAAAACTTAGGTCGTTATCCTAGAAGAAAAGTTTTTATAGAAGATAGAAAGTTAATTGTACATAAAAGCAAAAAAAAGAATTAACTTATTTAAACATAAAAATAAATGACGCTACTTTTACATACATATAAGCTTGTGTAAATCTATGTTCTTAGTACAAAGAAGTAACATTGTTTTATTATGAGGTTGAAGATACAAAATTTTATCAAATTTTATTACATATTTTATTTTAATTTATTTTTTTAATTAGTTTTGACTTGACTTGTTATAATTTTTGTTGGTGGCTTTAAACCATGACATAATATCTTTAGAAACTTATTATGTAACTTTTAAAAAATTTAATGATAAAAATTGATATTAGTGATGGTTAATATTTCAAGAGGTTGATATGTATAATGCCAATTTCAAAATAACTTTGGCTAATAACTTCAATTAAATAACTTTGATTAAATATTTTATTGAGAATATATATATATATATATATATATACATACATATTAACATAAATAAATATACAGAATAAATACGTAAATTTTACTCAAATTAACATCCTTAAAGTGTTAATAAATGTATATTAAGCTAAATAAAATATATTGTGTCTACCAAAGCTTTTGTTTTAAAAAGATCCTAAACCAAAAATATATATCTGAATTTTTTCTTTCTTTTATCTTAATATATATATCAAAGTTTACAACTTCTAATAGATTGTTTTAAAATAGTAATAGGTCATGTTATTTAATCCACGACCTGTTCTTGTCTCCAAATTGTCACGTTTACCGCGTTTGTGCGTGATCATCTGCTGCATTTAAGCATCAGGAAGTATTTTTGAGTGAATTTTCTTATGCAAAAACCATTATCTTCGATGCTGTGGGTTCAAATCCCAATGTCGGCAAGGCATGGTCTTGACACTTTGTAAAGCTTTCTGTACTAATCTGCTCATGGGTTCTTGCGTGCTTTGAATACGCCCTTGAATTGTATTTGCTTCGATATGGAGATTGTTGAATAGGGTTTTTGGTTGCAACAGGAGACTGTTGTGGATTGTTGTGGGCTATTGTTGTTTTTTAAGCTGAGAGAGTTCACAGAGAGCTGGACATAGCGATGTGATGAAAGTGGAAGGAGATTTTGAAGGAAGTGTAAAATTGGAGATGTGTGAAGTAGTGATTCTTATGAGTGTTTGGTTCAAAATCCTCTCAAGATTTGGATTGTAAGTGGAAAAGGTTGGATTAGTTGACTCGTTAGAGCATTGTTTATAGCGGAAGATTTAGACATGACAACATTAGTAGAATAAAAGAATATCAATTGTTGGCTCTTTCAGCGTAAGTATCCTCTAACTGAGAAATGCTTTGGAGCTTCGGCGCAAAGTTGTATGGATAAATCAGAGGATTAGGGTTTCAGCACTGCAGAAAATCAGGGTGTTAGGATTCAACTTCTTGATAATTTCGTTCTAACTCCGGGTCACCGATCATCAACGTAATATGTAAGACAGGGTGCTGTAAAAGATCGTTGAGCAGAATCGTAGTTTACACTCATGTTAGAGAAGTGCTTTGAATTTGTTGACATCTATGCTGAAGTCATCAATGTCTATTGTACAAGTTTGCAACGTTATGTCAATTAATTCTTTTCATCATATTTGACCTACACGTTGTTGGGTAATTGATATTTTTTTCCTGATAGATATTCCATGGATTATGTGAACTTCAAAGCCACTAATTGTTGGTAGTGTGTACAGTTCAACAAACACTGCTTCTTCAATAGGACTTTTGGTCCATCTAGTCTTACAAGAAGTTGTGCCATGTTCATCCCTCCAGCATGGCTTTGCCATTCCTTGCACAGCAGATATGGTTCACATTGCAAGTTTTGCTACAGTGTTAAGGTTGAAGTCATGGTTATTGGTGGTAAGTGAACAAGCTCATCAAATATTTGTCACAATTGTGATTTCACATACTCTGGTTAGTACTTACAGAGGAAAATATCATATAGTTTGCTTCTGATGCACAATGCAGTGTTGGTGCATCAAGCTAAATATTGTATGGAACTAAAAGATGTGAAAAATCATGGATAAATATTATAATAATATCAAATTAATAATGGCATCTTACAATTTTGTAATAAATAGAAAAATCATCAATAAATTAAGAGACTATTTTTGAATTTATTGTTATAATAATAGTTATCTAATATATTAAAAAATTAAAATCAAATCAGATAGATAGTCAAGTTATTCCATCTTAAATATTTTTTTATTATTAAAAAAATATATTGTCAACTTGATTTAAGATTTCTAATATACTATCATTTATATAATAAAATAAGGAAAATGATAGAGTGACCTAAATTTTTACTAAATTGACCCACATGTTTAAACCATCATTGTATCCTTTTCAACCCCATCTCTATTTCCAATTGTTCTTTTGTTCCCAATTGTCGCCTCTATTCCTAGCCATTCCCATGTTCTCAACCATTGTTCCTATTCTCAACATTTTCAATCCCCCTCTCTGTCCTTAGCAATGGTTGGGAATGGAGAAAAGCTAGGAACAAAGATGGAAGCTGTAAGGATGCAATGATGGTTAAGATGGAATGGATTGCTTTAGTAAAAATTTGGATTGCATTATCATTCTCTACAAATAAATGTCTACTATATATCTATATATATATAAACATACATATATCTATGTATAAGTAGTATATTTGAGGTGGTCAAACTTGGTTAAGACTTCATATATGATATTACTTATATAATAAAATAAAGGTATTACTACTACCACCATAATTTTTGCTACTACAACCGATCACCCACTTGACATATTTTTTTGGTTATTATTTTCTATTTGTTTTTATATTCTATAAAAAAACTATCAACGTTTTCAATAAATTATCTTATTTTAAAATTATGTGAAAAATAATTAAAACTTTAATAAAAATAAGTCGTGTTGACAATTGTAATAATTGTAGAAACATTAACAACACCCTGTGATAAACACCTAATATATATCTATACACACATACAAATATAATACAAATGAGATTGCGTTGTGATCCAAACCCCGTATTATTCAATGAAACGGGGGGGGGGGTTGGACAAGTCGCGAGGGAGTGAATGAGCCCACCGCGATTCCACTCGCCGTCATTCATGGGATGGATGGATGGCGAGACGACGCCGAGGCTTCACTTGGCCCCGCACACTTTGCTCCATCCCCTCCAAATAGGACCCTAAAATCAAGCAAGCAAGCCCCTCTTGAGCTGCGTTTCCTTTCGGATTGATTATCCTCCCCTGCCTAGAAAACAATACAATACGAAACAGAAGCACCTCTCGATAAGCTTCTCATTCCGCGACGCAGCTGGCGTGGGCTGTTTCCTCCGCCTAGCTCCGCAGACAACTGGTCCATTCTCCAAGCTAGAGCCCTCGATCGCGAATATTCGTGTTCATGGATTCTTCTTCGAGGTGGGTCCTCGGTGCCTTGATCTCAACCTGGCCTGAAGTCTGTGAAACCTTAAATTACTATGGGTTGCAATGGAACCCGTGATTCCATGCTATAGTCACTGTGCACCACTTTCATTCTTTTCTTTGTTGTTTGAAAGAAAGCTGTTTCGTCCTCTTAGGTACTACTACCGTTTGTTCCTTTTTATACGAATCCCGGACCAGTGTTTAATTGAAATTTGATAGCAATCGGATGTTGTCAGGGAAGTGGATGGCAGCAGTGGAGCGAACTTTTCACTGATTTAACGTGTTGCCGATTTTTGGTCTATTTGAGTGAAATTACTCGATTTTGGCTAGCTGGAAAGACGAATCTGTACACCGCTAGGAAATTTCCTCGTTGACCTCGAACAGTTCTGCTTCTGAGAAGGATCTGAGGTTCTGGATTGTATGGTCGTTGACCTTGACCCACGGAGGAAGTTGAAGCCCCCAGTCTAGGCTTTTGCTTGTGCAAGCGTGAGAAGTCGCCGCACGCGGACAATCGGGACCCTCAGTGTCTGCAATCGCGGTACAGAAAAGCCTTTCCACTTCGAAATTGGGCAAAAATTTGCCGAGATTGTTCTTCTTCACTACTAGAGCTAAGCTGTGTCCATTTTGGCTGATCAACTTCAAGGTTTGATGGATTTCATGGCCAGGGGTCATTGACATGAGTTGAGGAATCTAGCTCCATCTGCCTCAGGGTTGCTGCGACAAATGCCTGGAGAGCGAGGATAAGGGCACCAATATCCGTCACTTTGAACAGTAAATTTGGTTGTTGCTTTCAAAAGCATGTAGATACTGTGTACAAGCGTATCGTGCGGAGATTTGAAAAGTTGAAAATACTTACATGGAAATCTGTATATATTGCAGTCACATACATACATGATGTGTAATTTCCGTCGCTAATACATCGGACGATTTTGATGAGAAAAATAGAAAAACTCGAGACCTTCCGAGGTCGTAAATGAACATAGGTTTAGAAAGTGCATTTCCAGCAAGACGTAGTCAGTGCATTCACTCCACTACTTTGCAAAACATATCTCACAGAAGCAGAGAATGATAATTCAACCACTATGTGCAGTTCACTCCATACAAGAAAGATAAAGGCACTAAAGTAACAAAACCACCAGCAGCGGCAGCAGTGAAAGAGATCGAAGATAAAGATAGAGAAGAAATATGTATATTAATAATAACATGTATATATAGAAAATGAATAAAGACGGCAGTGAAGAGCGGAGACAAAGCGGAATGATGCTATAATCAGTGCCCATGAGCCTCACCCAGCGTTGGCTTTGGCGTTGGCGGATGGAAGAGTTGTGGCGCGCTGGATTGTCACGCGTGGGCACGCGCAGTGGCACAGCCGAGCTGGGTAGCTTAGTTGCACCATGGACTATCTGCGTGCCGGGGAGCGGCCAGCACGTGCTGGCCCCACTGGAGCGTGTATATTGGCTGCACGGCCTTGGCAACCGCTGCTGGTACCTCTCCTGGCCTGTTCTAATATGAGATCCTATAAAATGCGCTTCGTGAGATGGAAATTCCACTGGCCTGGTGCCAATCCGTATGGAGATTGTACAAGTGAAGGTACTCTGAAAGCTGGACTGATTTCGGCCGCGGCAGTTGTGGTTTGTCAGCACCGGGAACAGGAGGGACGTCACTTGCAGGTACCGTTGATGGATCCCAGCTCTACGTGCAAAGAGCTTTCTGACGGTGTCGCAGAAGTATATCCAGTCGTCCACATCATTAATGTTGTACATGAGATGCTGTTGCGTTCATTATTGAGGACATGAGCTCACTGGTCTTGAACCAGGCGTGTAATGCCAGTGACCTGTTTTGGTTCAGCAGTCAGGGTGCTCGTTTTGCTGCGAACTCTTCTCTAATTGAACTTGTAAGGTCAACAGTACGTTAAGTGTTGAACACCAGGGGTTGAATCGAGAACTTTAGCTTTTAAACTTTTCGGTCCTTTGAGAGACCATCATGATTCCAGTAGCATAGTGGAGATCTTTACTGGGTAAGAGTTTGTAGAGGGTGACCTTTAATTTTTTAAAAAAGGTGCTCATGGGTTGGATGTTGGCTTAAAAAACTTGTGCGTGTGGTCTTGTTTTAGATGCAGTGAAAAACTGGTATCTCGCAGAAGCTAGCTTTCCCGAGCAGCAAAGAAGCGAGACACATTGTCTGTCGTTTTGCCCACTGCCGGTTTTCTTCGTAATTTAAGTCTTGATTTGCTGGAACTGTTCGAAATGTGTCAAACATTTCATCACGCAATTCCTTAGTAGCTATTTAAATCCATCGAAATTAATACGGTCATTACGACGAGAGATACTCGCAGCTGCGGCTGGTCGGTTGTACCAGAGACAGTGCTACCGCGTCGTGGTTAAACCCTAACATGTATACCCACGACTGTCTATCACATACAGTTGGGCATTCTGGAAACGTCTCATACTACGTTTTGCAATAATCTGATTTTTATGGTCTTAATTTTGATGTAATATGCAAGTACACTGAAAGTAGGTAGCTTGTAGATAATCCAGCTTTACCGAGCAGCGTAAACGTGAGGTACATTGTCTACCTTTTGCTCGCTGTTGGTTATCTTTGTGGACTAAGTCTCGATTTGATGCAATTGGTCGTAGCGTGTCTTAAAGTTTCGGAAACAGCCCGTTCGAGAATTGGCTCATGAATTGTTTTAAAACAATCTGATTTCAATGATTTTAATTTTAATATGCGTCCAATGAGAACTGTCCTCTTGCAATTTACATATTCTACGTCAAAAACATTTCTTTGCTGGAATTGTTTTGCATCGTGATTGTAGATTTAACATGTTGCCAATGCCCTGATGACATCTGAATCTGAAATTGAGCAGCTGTAGGTGCAACGATGGATTTTTTCCGGGTTTGCGTCTTGGTTCTAGCATGGACCTGTTGCCTTTTTCACCCGCGATTGGTCCTCGCCGATGCAGACGATTCCAATAGTACTAACTCAATCTGCCAGGCTATGGTGCCCTCCCCGAAGCTTGAAATGTTTGTTGATAAGTTGCCGAAACTCAGGAAAATTTCTTTTGCAAATGGCAAGAAGTTGACCATCGGAGTCTACAAAATCAAGCAGGTAAGACACAAAATTAGTGAATTTCACTCGCACTTTCAATTCACGCTCACATGTAGACCTTCAGCGTGCCCTCGAACTTCCAATGATCGATTCTGACAATTCCAAATCTATTGTTCAATCCACAGAAATTGCACAGAGACCTGCCACCGACAACGCTGTATGCATACGGCACAACGGCACGGACAGCCTCCTACCCGGGGCCAACCCTGGAGGCAATCCAGAATGTGACATCCCATATTCGCTGGGAGAATCACATTCATGATAAGGAGCACATGTTCACTGTTGATCCCACTGTAATGTGGGCCAATCCTAAGAAAGGGGGAGTTCCAATGGTCGTCCACCTTCACGGTGCCGAGACTGCGGCTGTATCTGATGGTTACCCTGACGCATGGTACACTGCCTTCGGAGATACGGGACACGCTTACACCACCAAGGATTACCAATATCCCAACCAGCAGTCACCCACCATGCTCTGGTATCATGACCACACGTTCGGCATCACGAGGCTGAACATCTTGTCTGGAATGGCTGGGCTCTACATCATCCGGCCGAAGGAGAAGCTGCCGGCATGGATACCTCACAAGAACTACGAGGTGACGCTCTTTCTGCAGGACAAGGCCTTGTACAATGACGGCAGAATCAACTTCCCCACCGTGGGACTGTCCCTGAGAAATCACCCTCACTGGTGCCCGGAGTATTTCGGCGACGTGATCCTCGTGAACGGCAAAGCATGGCCTTACCTCGTCGTCAAGCCTCGCAAGTACCGCTTCCGTCTCGTGAATGGTGGCAATGCGAGAGTTTTCGAGCTTTCTCTGAGCACCCACAAAACCGGCTTCATTCAAATTGGTACCGACGGAGGACTCCTCGAAAAGCCGATGTATGTGAGCAGCTTAATCGCTGCTCCAGCGGAGAGGCTGGACTTCATCATCGATTTCTCCCTTGTCGCCGGGGAAGACATTATTCTCAAAAACTCAGCACTTGTGCCCTATCCCGACGGGGATCCAGCGTTCACCCCTCCCAGCACTCAAAGCATCATGAAGTTCAAGGTAAAGAAGTTTGACAAAGACGATGCGCCGAACTCTCCAGCCATCCCTGCAATGCTCCGGAAGCCAGACCCCGTGATCAGCTTAGAAAATGCCACATGGAGAACAAACACGATGATCGAAATCGCCGACGAGGACGATTTTCCCACTGGTTCCCTCCTTTCCAACCTCACCTGGATGGACCCAGTGACCGATATCCCTTACCTCGGCTCCACCGAGATCTGGGAGTTCATCAATCTTACCCCAGACGCGCACCCCATGCACATCCACCTGATTAAATTCAAGGTGCTCAACATCCAACCCTTCAACCTCACACTCTACGAGGAGAAGGGCTGCCATCGCTTCGAGCACTCCTACCGCGGCCCGGGGAGCTGCATCACGGAGGACCCTGTGGAGCCCAAGGCGTACCACGCAGGATGGAAAGATACCGTGATTGCACTTCCTGGTTACATAACCAGGCTGGTGTTGCACTGGAGCCCGGAATACGGCGGCGAGTTCCCGTTCGACGCGACTGCAAAGCCTGGGTACCTCTGGCATTGCCACATCCTGGACCACGAGGATAACGACATGATGCGCCCTATTCAGATGCTGAGGAGATAGCGACCCCAGTGGCCTGATCGACGCGGTGTGAGCTGGGAAGAGGCAATGCATGTGTTTTGGTATCGATGTGTTCGTCGATGAGCTTGTTAGATAGACTTAGTTGTGTACATCACAAAAAGATATAAAAGAAAAAAGGCTGTGACTGGTGATCGCCAAAATCACTCAACCGTAATAAACTTCCCCTGTGGTCTACAATCACCGCAATCTACAATCACATCTGCTAGCGTTTCAGCCTTCAATCTGTCTTCGTCATACGCCGGCACCGTCACACCTGATCAGCGTCCAATCCATGTTCCTCTCTCCCAGAGATCCAGTGTCTGTATCGTGTATGGATTGTGTGCACTGTGTCTGTATTGTGTATGTATTGTGAATTCTCCACGTATACTGAAGAGACGGTGTACGTTCTAGCCATAAATTGATCGAGCTCCATCGCAGGGGTCTTCAGACTCTGGGTGGAGTATAGACAAAAGATTACACAAACTATCTCAGGAGCTTGAATATTAATTTGTTGCATATTATACATAGTTAATTCGGTTTGAATGAGGGAGGGGAAAACATTGAAGTTTAAACATTTTTGAAAAACATTCTTCATAATATTAGAGGTGGATTTTGATATCAATGGAACAAGTTTAGAGAAGTATATAAAAGATTTTTTTATACTAGTATACATCACATAGCAAGAGAAAAGATAGGAGCACACATAGTAAAAGGAAATACAGCATCATTTGATCACCTTTCAAACAAACTAAGTGTATTTCTTTCCCTACAACCACCTTGGTCTTTAAAATACTTAATGTGTAAAACATTTTTAAGAATAATATTGTTTGAGTAGAAGTCTAGAATATCTGGATAAATAAAGACGAAGAAGAAAATTTCAATGAAGACAAACATTTTATCAGATTTTAGAGGAGCTTTTGTACAGACAAAGTTTCTCGAAGGATATAAAATAAGTTGGAATGTAAGGAACAATTAGTAAAGGGCCAAACTCTACTCCATGAAAATCCTTGGTTATGTTTATATCAAAAAAGATTTGTAGTAGTTATTCCAATTAGTTAGGGACAAACAACTTTAGACCAAAGTAATTAAATTAAACAACATTTAAAGGTAAAAATTCTACAATTATTACAAAATTAAGTAAAAGTGTCTTAATTATTATTTCAATTTTTATAATGGGATACTTGACAAGCCAAAAATTAAAACAATAACAAAGTTTATGTCTAAAATTCTTAAGAAAAAAATGCCAAATTAATTAAATAGTGGCTTGTTAGATTATTAATCTCAGAAAAGTTAGAAGATGTTATTTTGAAAGGGATATAGGAAAAAAACCAAATGGCATAGATGGAATGATAATAAAACATTTCAAGTATTTTTGGAGTATATTATATTAATACAATCTCAATGTTATAAAATTTGATCTAAAAATAAATATATTTTCTCAAAATATTATTTGTAGAAATATTATCTAATTACAAAAAATAAGGAATGGAATATCTTATATAAATAAAGGCTTTTCATACCACTAAACTTTTCTTAAAATAAATATATAATTTTCTATTTTTTAAAAAATAATTTAATTATATAGAATTATATATATATATATATATATATATATATATATATATATTATCTATTTGTTTTATTTTAGATAATATTTTGGTTATCCAAGAAACTATCTATTAGAAAAATGTCTTTTAAAACTATTCATAAAAATTTACCTAATTACTTATATTAAAATTAGACTTCTCAATAATTCTTAATAAAGTTTTATAGAAATTTCTATTTGAGGTATTATAAAAACTAGTTTTTTTTTTTTTTTTTTTTTTTTTTTTTTTTCCTTCTTCTTTTACTTTTTTTCTTTACTTTTATTTCTATAATGAGATTATTATTAAGCAACATGGATGTCACAATCTTATGTAATAAAAATAAGGCAAAGAATTATTTTTACAAAAAAATAGAAGTCAAGAATGTTTATTGGTTCTCTATCTTTTTAATTTACCAACTCCTCTTGCTAAATAGATTATTATTAAGTTTCAACTACAAGAAGCTTAAATTAGATTTAAAAAAAAATAGATGTTGAAGATATCTATACATAAATCAAGAAAAATTTAGCCAGATTGTTCTAAGATCTTTTATTTTTAAAAATAATATTAATTTTTTAATTTTTTAATAAAATAAATAGATCTAATTCTAAAATTTGGATTACAATTGGTAAAATATGGCAATCTATGATTCAACAACTCTATTTATATATATTTTCTATAGACCTTTGGTACAATATGAAAAATATTATTTTAGTGAAACTCACACTATTTGTTTCTAAGAGATATTATTAATTCTATCAATTCTATAGAAGTTGTATTAAATATAAACAAATTTATGCAATATATACATAAATTTTAAAATCTAGAAGAAAAAATAATCAGAATTTTTAAAAAAGTCAAATTAGAGACAATTATAGAAAAGTCTAATAATAATTTTTAAACCATTTCAAAAGATTCTTTCTTCTAAATTGGTTCAAAATATTAGATATTTAACACCAAACAAATGGATTGAACTTTAGATTTATATGATACATTAATACTCTTCACTAGTCTCTAATTGCAAGAGGTAAATCTAATTCTAAACATTGATGTTTTTATTGTTTTATTACAACCATTTCACTTAAAAATTCTTTAGATAGGAATCTAGTCTCAAGTTTTCTCTTGCAATCAAAGAAAACATCCAATAAATGCATAATATTCTCTTTGTCTTTCTATTTACTTACAAATCCATGTATGGATGTAATTAAAATTAGACTTAGTCATTTAGTATTGATAAAAGAGTTGTCACCTTGAATGTGTACAAAAATTATAGGCTATAAAGTTAGTTATAAAGTTAGTTATATTTATTGCTAGGAATAAAAGATTTTGTTGTTTTGTCATTGTTTCAAGGAAATAGAATAAAAATTGGTATAATAAATTACTTTCTTTCTTCTGCATTTATTTGACATTGATATAGTAAAAAAAATATTTATCTTTTGTTCATTTTATTAAAAAAATATTCAAAAATATATATTTAAAAAAGAAATAAAAAGAGTCCAGAATTAATTAATATTTAATATTAATTAATATAATAAAATAAGAATAATTGATTTATCTATTTTTAATTATATATATTTCTGTATTTAATTATTTTCTTTAATATATTATATTTATAAGATATTTGAAGATGTTAAAAAACCCAACTATAAGATGTAGACATCTATAAGATAATATAAAATTAAAATTATAATTTAATATAATATTAAAATCTATTACATTTTATTTTATCAATAAAGATATATTTTCAAATATCTTATCATTTTTATAGAAGTTTCTATCTTAAGTAAAATGACTACAAAATATTTAGTTATTCCTTGAATTTTTTGTATGTAAGAGTGTGTTTTCTATATAATTCTTTGATAAATTCATATATGTTATAAAAAATCCTCAAAAGAATATTAAATTAATGAAAATCAAGCTCTTTATGGTTCTATACTATGTATTCTATAGTACACATCTATATATATATATATATATATATTTCTATACATTTGATACTATGTAGAGCATATTGCTTAAGAATTTATGTATGGGTAATTAATTTTGCTATTAAATTTTTTGATGATGGTTAGGATGGGTGGGTAAATTTAGTAAATATTTAGTTGAATTTAAAGATTTGTTAAAAAAATAGACGTCATTAATGCCCAAAGTTAATGTCAAAATATCACCTAACAAAAGAAAATAATAAGCATTCATCAACGTCTTGACAAGAACTAAATCCTACATGTCAGATGAAATCTCTACGGCACGTATCATTCATTCAAACTAGTTTTAAATTAACCAATACCAAAACAGAGTATGATTATCATCCGAATCATGCAGAAATTTCATTCATCCATTTTATTTATCCATATATTGATACGCGCATCATTGTTTTTGGTTGTATTCTTTGTTTACTGTTGTTGATGGAGATCTGGGTTCACTGAAGAATGGTGCAGTGTCTGCATGCTGTGTGTATGTTTCCAAGGATGGGTTGCTGCAGATTTGATCTTGATTGATTGAGCAAGCTCCCAGGATATATATTCCTTATGGGAAATTTTATGATAAAAAGGCTCTCTCTCTCTCTCTATATATATATATATATAAGTAAAAAGCCAGTTAGAAACATGATAGAAATTACATACGTAACAGCAAAAATTTCAGTAAAAAATAAGATCATTTTTAAAATACAAGCTTTTTTCATATCTTTACTTGTAATTTATATCATGGTTGTTCAATGATGAAAACATACAAAATGATTGATAAATTATTAATAAAAATTTCATTATAAAAGATTTCAAATATTAGGAATCTCTGTGTTATTACGATTGTTAAAAGATAATAACCTGGTTTTTAAATTTGTTGAAGGTATCATGTTTAAATTTCAAGGTTTTAACAGAAGTATATATATATATATTATGTTATTTTATTAGTGTCTTTTAACAAATGGGATCATGTTGTTTTCTAAAATAATTATACATCAATGTTCCATGTGCAGTTAAATTTATAAGTAGATATATACTTACTTTGATGCACATAATTACGTATAGTACCCATATTTCATCCCTTTGAACAGTCCATGATAAACCACTCGTACCTTGAATTTAGCCAATGAACATTTTGAGCAAAATAGTTTATCTTGATAACTATTAAATTTAACACTATAATGCTCATCATGACACCATATTATAATCATGTTGGCCATCCTGACAAAAGCCGGATTGATAACAACACTAAATCTCTAAAACCATCATCTAGCAAACTTGTCAGCACAAATTTTACAAAATCATCACATGAGCATGAAACAAACTTAACTATTCTATCGTAATTTGTTTTTTGTATAAAAGTCAAACATTTGCATTGAAACGGTGATCATTAACAAACAACACAATGCTTTCCAAGCAAGACATGGTTTCTGAACAACCTAAGAAACATCCATTTCATCTACTTTGATAGTATCTTACGATGTAATTGAAAGAATGAAAGAAAGAAACAACACTGCAATGCTTGCGAAATAGTGATAAATCACGCTTGATGTTGCCGAAATTGGAATTGCTTGAACTTCGACAGCTGAAAACAGCGACAGAAACTTATATTATATGCATAAGATTTAGCATGCACCGTGGACCTCAATCGCAGAGGTAAGCACCACCACCACAACAGGTGGCAAATGGGATTAGAGTCGCAGGTAGGTGGGATATCCGGATTAAACGAGGCAAGAGGCAACAATTCAAGGTAGTCGCGAAGATCAGGACCCGTCAACAAGTCGACAACGCAATTCAATCTGCAAATGGTATCTTGGTATTTCATAAAACGTCGACATGAACACACCGCAAACCTCAGTGGTCCGACTACGAGCTACATTGCATAGACATCAGTGCTCTACGATTTTTTCACTCCAGCAGCTGCAGCTCCTGCAGTCGGCCAACTCCCTAGACTCCGACACAAACATGCAGCTACGGAACTGCTCAACCTAAGCCATAAGATATTTGATCGAGTATCGGAGAGTCTTGGCTTGCTGACCATTGTGAACGAATCCACTTAGCTTCCAGGCACCAACCTCCCTGAACAGTAACCGATCAAATACAAAATCAGCACTAGGATACGAACAACTTGGGAAGGAAACGCATACTACATGATTGGAAGAGTCTCGGAGGAAATGCGAAGAAGGGGAGAGATTCCTGTACCCTGGCAGTAAAATCTCTGTTCGAATTTGATGCCGCACTTCTGGGGAATAGCAATAGCGGCACTCAGGTTGATTTTAAGTGCGACAGCCTCCTTGCTTGTGGCCAGTCTACACAAGCAGTCGATTGCGCTCTTCTGCTTTCTGGGCGGAAGAAATTGACGGATGGCATCGCAACAACGCTTGTCGGGCTTGACGCGGGGGTCCCTGCTAGCATTCAAGCAGGGCAAGAGGAGGTCGATGTCGCAGCCAGCTGCAGCAGTGGTGACGACCATCGCGGACGCCACGATAAGAACTAAACACATCGCAGCGACGATGCGGAGCTTCATGGTGCCGGCTAAAAGTTGGAACAGAACACTCTATATAAACAGAAGCACGATGCTAGAACCAGCTGCTGAAGAGGCATAGATGGGATGAGAAATGACGGGACCCGGCATGGGATTTATACCACGGACTCGCCGACGGATGCGCTGAATCATGCATGCAACGCCGCGACGTCAGCTGCTCGTTAAGATCTACAATCTGACCCTTCGAGTCCAGCATCCAGCTCTGAATCCTCACGTTCGTTTTTTGCTGTGTGGGTGTTGTTCACCGGACTGCGTGGATGCGTGCACGACCATAAGCACGAGGTGGGCTGCGATGTGATTCAGTGCAGTCGTTGACGTTGCGGAGCTGCGAATTGATTGAAAATTGCAGCTCCAGGAATTTGATCTGCTCGTCCCCCTCTCTTTGTTTTCCTCTTCCTGACGCAGTTGTTCACTTTCTCCGCCCTCACGTTTGCTGATTTAATTATTTTTATTTGTTTCATTTATGTTTGCCTTCCACTATCACTATTACTGCCACTTGGCTACGTCGTTGCTGACACATTGGATTGATACCCCCTTTGCAACTTGCTGGCGCGTCTGTTGTGCGTCTGCCACTTGGTGCCTTGTTGTACCGACTGGGTGCTTTGGTGTTGCAGATGTTTTGCATTACTAAGAAAAACAAGAAAGAAGGAAGGAATGCTTTTGATAGTTATTTATAGTTGTATTAGAGGGTTTCAAACATGGCACTATTGCAAAATCAAATAACTTGGATTTAGCACTTGATATTTCTAGAATGTCAAATCTAAAACATCACCATTTATATTTTATTACTTCTTAATATTATTTCATAATTCAAACTTTATTACCCCTTAGTATGGAGTCAAAAAGGGGAGAGAGCTGAGGCAAGCAACATGATTTTTGATATTTGACTTGTTCTTCTTTTGATATTTTGATTTCAAAATCATCGACCTCACAAGGTGGGTGATTTGGTGAAGTATCAAGTGATATTCCAAAATATCACAAAATACTTTGGATTTGCATCATAGGTGAAATATCATCCAAAAAGGTCATGTTTGAAACTCCTTATTGTATAGATGTCATAATGTTAAAAAATAGGCAAGAAAAAAAATAAAAAATATTTTTTAAATGATGTATATTGTTGATAACATTAGAAAGAATGTTTGCCTATTTAAAATCACTATTTAATGATGATTTTTTTTAAATAAAAAAAATTACATCTCAAATAAACATTAAGATGCATAGAATGTGGTTGACATTTAGTCTTTTGAATGAATATAAAATTAATTTTTATTACAAAATTTAGATTTATATAATTTCTTATATATCTTTTTTAAAATTTTATTTAATTTGAGCATGTAAAGTTTAAGATAGTATTTTTAATAATTAAAATATTATTATTAAGTTTGATTTATTTCCATTAAAGATATAAATCTTAGAAAACTAAAAGATCAATACACTCTTGTGTCACTCAAAAAGACTAAAGAATCACTCAAAGATGGTTTAATATTAAATGAGAATGGTTGTTAGTAAAGATAAGAAGACTAGAAAGTCTTGAAACAAGATTAAGGATTAGAAAGGCATTGACAAGAGTGAAGAAGGCTTCACTCTTATTGTCATGGATATATATTTATTGTAATTATTATTTAGGTAATATGAATAGGTAGAAGTAGGTAAAGATAGATTAAGTTCATAATATCTTCTAAACTACCTTCTTAGAAGCTTTATAGATGGTGCTTTGACTTTACATGTATTTGTAGTTGATTAATAGGTTAGAAATTTAGTTAACAAATTAACCACGTGCCATATATGTAAGTAGCTTATGAAACTAATTAACTATATGGCATCCATATAAAAAACTTGTCTTCCAATTTAAGCTATGTATTGTGCAAAGTCAACATGTTTTGGAGATTCTATTGAATATTGCCACATAGCTCCTAAATAGATAGTATATGTAGGGACAAGAATAAAGCCTTCTTCACACTTTTTTAATTCTTTTCTTGCTTCTAGTTTAATTTCTGAAGTCTATAGTTTTCTTGTCTTTTAGCAATAGCCATTCTAGTTTCCTTTTAATATACATACTTTCTTATTTCTATTTTTCCATATTTCTTTGAAAAAGTTTTACTTGTTTATTTGATTTCATTAAGTTCTTGTTCTTGACAGATTGACAATAGTATACTTAGAATATTAGAGCTTTATCTTTTCTTGATTAAGAATAGATTATTTCTTTTTCTTAATAAGACATAAGCATATTAGAAGTTCTAAACTAATATTATTTTGAGTATTTTTTTTATTCTTAATTTCTTTTTTTTACTTATTTTAATTGATATTAGACATTTCTTTTCTTTTAAGTTTTATTATAGTAGAGTTTATTAAAATAAAGAGTGCAATGGCATAAATGTAAGAAAAATTGAGAAAATTAATGCTTATGATGCATCAACTCAATTTACCACTACAAGAAAGAATAAGAATGACAAAAAATAGAGATATAGAGATGATTAGAGTTGCTTCAACATCTACACCAAATCATATTTCTTCTCCTATAGTAGAACATCATTCAAGCACTAGAAAACCAAAAATTGCCTTAGTTAAGAAGTTTGATGGTACAAAATCAAAATTTCAGTGATTTATTAATTAAGTACAATTGGCAATTGAACTTCAATTCTAAAGCTATCCAATTCGAAGATCAAAAGTCAAGTTTATTGAAATACTATTTTTTGATTCTATATTATTTTAGTTTTCATCTTTTTTTAAACAACATGATCCAATATTAGATAATTTGAATTTTTTTTAAATAAAGTTTTGATCTACCTATGAAAAATATAATGTAATTTATGTTGCAACAAACAAGATCTATATTTTGTAACAAAAAAATCAATTTGTAACATTGTATGTTTCATAATTTTGATAACTTGTGATTGATATTAACTGAGATGATGTTGCACTTGTTAGCTAATTTTTTTATAGATTACAATATGAAATAAAGAAATTATTGCTCAATTTAACTGATCTTCAAACATTGAATTAAGTAATTAATTTTGTTGTAAAATGTGACAATTGATTTTTTGAATTTTGATTTAAGAATTATATAAGTAGGCCTTAGCATTATTATAATTCAATAGTGATACCAACGTCTTCTAAACACATACCTTCAAAAGTAGAAGATATGCAAATTGATGTGGTACATTTTAAACCTCTTGCTAAGCAAGAAAAGACTCCTTGTCATCAAGAAGGATTGTGTTTATATTATGGAGAATCAAAGTAAACTACTCAATATTATTCAAAGAAACAATACAATCATAAAATAAAAAATATAATTATTAAAGAAGACAATATATCAAAAAATGAGTTTGTCCAACTACAATAGGAATCATGCACCCAAAACCTTGTATAATACCTAATGAAGGTTCAATTTTTTCCTCAAAACCCCTCTCTTTGTTTTACAATAGATATTAATTTAGGACCTAAACATCGCAAAGTCTTTGCTTTGCTAGATTCAAGAGCCTCAACTTATTTTTTAGATGAAAAATTTATTAATAAAGAAAATTAAATTTGTTCATGTAATAATCATAGGTAGTTATTTGTTGTCATTTGAAGATATTATTCATGAAACATTTCTTCTGAAAGAAGTAACTAATGGTCATAGTAGTAATGTAATATTTAATATGATTGGATTTCTTTTCAATCCAATTATTTTAGGTTTATCATAGTTAAAAAATCATAATTCCTAAATAGATTGGATTTCTTATTGTAATAAGATATAGATAAGATATTTGTATTAATGACATGTAGAAATAGATAGTTGGAACCATGCTTGAAAAGTTATGGAAGTTTTTAGAATTGGCACTAGATTAGTGGACCATGTAAGATCCATTGTAGAACATTCTAGAAAGAGCTTAGGGTTGTTATCTAGATAGGGCCTATGATAGAATCTTCTAAAAGGAATTTAAAATGATTATTTAAAAAAGACCTATCATCTAGAAATATTTTAGAAAGTCCAAGGTGGTAGAATAAAATATAAATAGGAATAACGAGGGCCTTCTAGGTACCTAGTTAGGTATAGCTTTGAACCTTCTCTCTTAATAAAGTTTGGTTTTGCATCATCCTATTTAATTATGTTTTGTTCTATTTCCATTTACATAGTTTTATCTTTTGTATCCTATTTTTTTAAACTTTGTTTAGTTTTATTTTGGTCTATTTTTTCCTACTTTGTGATGAGGTTTTATGCGGCTCTGGATTAGAAGAGTCTTAGACTCTCAAAATAGACTGGTCCTATTTCATTGGTATGAGAGTAAGTATTAGACTATTCTTTGGTAGTATATAGATAGCCATCATCTAGTTTGTGGTCAATTGTTGTGGTCACACTAGATACTATGTTAAGGCTATCACGACTTATTTCTAAAAAGTCAATTAGAAAGTGAGAAGGCATTATAATAGTGAAGTCCAGTAAGGAAAATACAACATAGGAGATATGGCAAAGCAATTCCAAATGGAGGTTCATATATAACATCTTTTAGGCCTAATGGCTACTTTACAAGGGCAAATAGAAGCTTCTATGACAAAGGAGTCATCATGTACTAGACTAAAATTGAGTAAGCCTAGTACATACTATAGGACTTCAAGACAAGAAGATATATGTTAATATTTCTTTAACATGCAATAATACATCCAACTATCCAAGGCAAATATCAGTGAAGGAATTACGTATGAAGCAAACTATTTGAAAGATACGATAGCCATTTGGTGGCGACATCAAGTTCAAAGCTATGGAGTTCATGGTGGATTTTGTGATTGAGAGGAGTTTGAGATCGAGTTTAGGAATCAATTTTGGTCCATCAATACAAAGAAGATAGTACACAATTAATTAGTAAATCTTATACAATTTAGATTAATACAAGATTATATTTTTTGATTCAAGTCCCTATATCTTTAAATTGGCCATGTTTTTGAGGTAAAGATAATAGATCCATTTTTAAGAGATTTGAAACCTGAGATCGAACAAGAAGTGGAATTAAGAGATCCATAAATATTTGAAGAGTCAATTAGGATTGCAGGGAAGGTCGATGCTATAGATTTTAGAAATTGTAAAGCACGACCTATAGTATGAAGT